ATTAACTCCCTCACTATGGGATCAGTCAATTTAGCAGACCATGTTATCTCTTTGTACTCATTTAAAGTCTTTATAGGTTTAATACTACTAACTTTTAATATGGTGCGTATATCTTCAAGAAATTTGGCAGTCTTTCAGTAAATCTGTGTTTGTGAGTTTATCCATGAAGAGTGTATAGTAGAGTTTTTGTTTGTTTTTTAAGTTTAATTATTGTAGATTAGATTGTAAAAACACAGTAGAGAAGAATTTTTCTCGCCAATTGTGTTCTAATGTAACTAAACCAACCTGTGTGTACTTTGATGAAAAGATACGATTATTTAAAGCTCTGGATTCAACTGTGGTAATTAACTGTGTAACAAACATTGGTATATACATTTAACTTAGTTTAGTATATATTATTTTAAAACTTGTGGACTGTGTGCTCTTTGTTTATTATTGAAATTTATTGCTAACAAGTCGCAAACACCTACTGTAATCAATCCAGCCCACGCATACATAAAAACTGACACAAAGTTTAAGGATGGAGATGCATTGTTAGGCAATGCATCAGACAGAGGCATCACCAAGCTCACCCCAAAGTTCCTGAAGTCGCAGAACCACCTGTCATGGGACTAGAAACAAAGATGCCATCTGAGCTGAATATGTTGCCCAGATTGGACAAACTGATGACCAGCCTCCCTGCAGCCATAACTGTAAAACCGATACCCAAAATGAAGTCCAAGGTTTGAGTATTATCTGAGGACGAAGTGCACCCTGAGAAGATGGAGCATAGAACAACACAAACAACATTATTTGTTCCTTAACCTTGGTGCTGATCATCACATCTCCTGACCATGAAGGGCTTTCCTAGAGCTAAAATTGCTCAAGAAGAAGGAAGGATCAAAATGTCAGGAAAGCATGACAACATCATCTTCAGCAGTTCAGTCACCCTGGAGTAACAACAGCAGTTTGGACACCACCATTGACAAGGGGCCTCCATTTTGATGCTGAATAACAATAAGTACCTTTCCACAAGAGAAAGTAGAACTATCCTCCATGCCTTCAACCAGAATACCAAAGCATCTTATGTTACAGCAGATCTAAATTCTCAAGCGTCTAAACCAAGAGCAGGCAGCCAAGTGAACGAAGGCCTTGGCACTTTATAACTGGTAAAGAGGATAATTTGATGAAATGTAGAGAGGCTCCATTAAAATTAGAAGAAGAGGTGTGTTGACTCAAAAGGTACTTGCAAGATCTGAAAGATCCATCACTGGCCACAATGGTGCACTGCAAATTCACTATTGTATTGAAGGACCTGCTGTTGGGGCTTCCATAGGTAATGCTCTTCTTCTCATTGTCTAGACCCTGCTTCATATTTAACATTACTACAATGACATTAATGTAAACTTATAAGTATAACTAGTGAAAGTCTAGTTGACACCCCTAAAAAAACCATCCCTGATAAGATGTAAATTGTAAAATCTGTTTCTTACATTGCATTAAAATTTAAAATTTGTGTAACTTTACTCATTAGGGTCATATAATCTATGAAAAAAAATTTTTACCTTGTTTGTGTGTTATGTTTGTAACACCATAACTCTTACTTTCCTGAATTTGTTTTCTGTCAGAAGTTGTGAAAAGCACTGACATGCCTGGAACACTGAACTTTTGGTATTTAAACTTTGTGAGATAAAGTTATGACTATTACTATCGAGTCTTATTTTACAGAATAATTGATGTTATTCGAATTTTTATTTTGTTTTACCTTAAATTTAGGCTATTTAAAGAATATTCAAAATATTAGGTTTTTACTTTGGCTAAGTATGTAGTTGCCTAATAAATATTATTGACAATTATTTGATTTCCCTGGCTACATAGTATTTGAGTAGCTATATAGTTATAATTACAGCACTTAAGGCTCCAAAATTATCATAAACAAACTTAAGAACAAGCAAAATAATACTAAATTGTCTGGAAAAGTGTAAATCAGGAGTGATATTGCAGATTAAACAAGCAATGCTTGAGGATCTTGAAAATAGATATACATCACCTGCCACTGTTGATATTTTTGTGAAAGCATACTTTCTGGATGCCAAACTTAAAGATATGACATTCTTAAATGAATATGAGAAAAGGAAAGTGTGTAATTTGTTAAAGGATGAAGTTATTCAACTGTTGACACCAAATACTCAGCTGGTCAAGGGAAATGAGCAAAGTCAGTTCACTGGGGAAGTGACACCTTCAGTTAGTTTCAGTGCCCAAGAAGTTAAAGAACTGACAACAAAGAAAAGACCACTGTTGACTTAAAGCTGCTGACATCTGTTTACAAGAATAAGAATGTGTCCACAGTACAGAAATCTCCTGAAATGATTGCTGAAGAGCGAGTGAATAGATACACAGCCACTCACTCTGTACATCTACAAGACAACCCTCTGAGATTCTAAGCAGATAATGCCCATTTGTACACACAATTTAGTATATTTGCAGTATCTGGCAATTCCAGCGACCAGCACCTCTGCAGAAAGGTTGTTTGGTAGTGCAGGTTATATTTTGAATGCCAGGCAAACCTCATTGGATCCAAAGAATGTTAACTTATTAACCTTGCTTAGCTGCAATATTTAACGTTGTTAACTGTTGACTTTTTTTTGAGAACTAGTCATTAAAACTTAACAGACTGATGTTAAATTATTTTTTTTTAAGTGAGGATTTAAGCATTATGTGATTTAAGTTAAGTTCCTATTTTATAGTAAATAATTTGTTATGTTTCTTAGTTTCTGTAATTTTAAATTATAAATGTTCTTTTCTGCATTGTTTTACTGTGTGTGTGTGTGTATGTTGTATTTGTAGCAGCAGGTACACCATATAAGGCCTCAACATTGTGGTGAACATGTAAAACAATACTTAACTGTTTGGAGTAACAAGTTTAGAAAAGTGTATACATTACACAGTATTGTTAAAAAGGGTTACTGGTAAGTGAATAAATATTTTGTTGTTTCTAAATTTTGAACAGTGCAGTTGTCTTCTGTGTATGACACATTTTCATGTATAAAGTTTAGATATAAATTCTGCAGGAATTTATTTTTTAAGGTGGTACTAGTACCAGGACATACTTAAGCTGCTTTGTCATTTTTTACATTTACAGGTAGATTTTTTTATTTTCAAAAAATAAGTCCACTTCACCAAGCCAAGTAACTCTACTTTTGTTTTTGAGAATTTCACTTTGGTTTAGGATTAACATGTAACTAAATTCTAAATTTGATACTAAAAGACGTAGATTTCACACAAAAAATCAGGATGAATGAGATGCATTTTCTTTTCACATCAATGTTCTTCCCTTTTCTTCAATTTGTTTCTATTTTTGTTCAAAAACATTTTAATAAAAAAGGTTTATTGTGGTAAACGAAATAATAATTTCATCTAAGTAAGAGTTTTTGTTTTCTTCCCCATTTGTAAAAAGATCTTTAGGTGATAGAAAAAATGAATATTATTTTCCAAATCTGCTTAGCTGAATTATGGAAAGTCGGTTATTAAAACCAAAACAACTTTTATGGAGTTTAGATTTGCAGGCTTGTGTTATTAGACTATAGAGTATGGCACCTTTTGCTTTCTTTTGAGAAATTTTCATTAACATGGAAATCTCACCAGATTGTTTCATTACTGCTTTCTAAACAAACAGCTTTAGCAAAACTTGATCCAACTGCATGCATATGTAAGCTAGAAATATACCAGTGAGAGAGCACAAATAAAGCTCTCTCTCTTTCTCTAATTAAACAAGCATGCATATGTTCAAGTATTAAACTTGACTTTACTTGAAATAAAGGTTGTGATTGATTAAATCTTGTTTCCAGTCTCTTTCTTTTGTGTAAAAATTCTGTCAAAGGCAGAGCAAATATAGGCACTGCTTTTTCATCAGAATCTGTTGAATCCTCCTGTTATTTTGAGGATTCTAAAGGCTATTCTTAGGGAACTCAGGAAAATATGAGAATACCACACACAAAAGTATAGAGAAAAATAAAATATGTTATATTGAGCTTGTGCAATTCTTATATGAATATAAGATTTCATGAATTTTTTTTACTCTGTTCAGAATTGTAGAAGGTGCTTCTTTTGTGATTATTCATAAATATGTATTACTTACACAGTCTGCAACTGTTTAGATAATATGAAACAGCAGAGAAGAAATGTATCTATTCTGTCTAGGTGCTGTTGTGATCATTTTGAAGCAAGGTTTTGGTAAATTACATCATCAGTGTAAAGCATTATATATCTTTGAATAGCCTATTCCAAATTATGCAATAGTTATTTCTATATTTTATGTACAGATGTTTTCTAAATTTTTGTATTCTGTCCTTCTTGCCTAATCTTTATGATTACAATGCCCTTTAATTCTACATTTTTGTCTTTATTGCTTTACACTCTTCTAAGTAAGAGAGTTTCTGTTAGTTCTGAGTTGTTTACATTTTGTATTTTATTATTATTGAGTCAGCATCGTTAAAATTACACAAGAGGGTATTCTTTAGTAATGTAAGTCTATTTGCTTTGAATGTGGAGAGTCTACAACTTCCTAGTGCCCTGCAGTGGCACAGTGGTATGTCTGCGGACTTACAATGCTAGAATCCAGGTTTCAATACCCGTGGTGGGCAGAGCACAGATAGCCCATTGTGTAGCTTTGTGCTTACAAACAAACAAACTTCCTAGCATGTATGCTAATAAATTTTCCACTTTATTTCTTGGTAGCTGGTTAAATATATAAATTTAAAGATAATGGGATTTTGTGACAGATACACATTGATCCCCTTGTCAATAGGGAGTATATATTTTTGTTAAGTTTTGGTTAGAAAAACAGCATGGAAGTTGAAAACAGGGAAATGATCCTGTCTGTGTTGATCTAACTAAATGTGTTCTATGTATGAGTATTTCTAATGTATTTTTGTCAAGAATTGCTCTTTTCTTTATTTCTAAAGAGAGCAATTTTCTCTTTATCTGTTACTTATTTTACATGATATTGTGTTCTCTTCCAGAAAACAAAGAATGGTATGACTCTAAACTAGAAGATATTCACCTGTCGATAGAAGTGACAGAAAAATTATATCTTGAAGTTTATTTGAATAAGATCCTTCACTTTGGCACCAATGTTGTAACATTTCACGTAAGAAGCGATTATTAAAGTATAAATTTATAAACTTTTATTAATTTTATAATTATGTTTTTTACATAATTCTTAATAGTTTTGCTCTCTACATTTTACATTACATGTGACAATCACATCTTGATTTTCAGTGTTTCACATTTAGTCACTGTGAAAATCCTGTATTTAAAGCTAATTTTTTTTTTTGGTTTCACCTCAATATTTGTATGAAAATGAAAAACTATGAAAATCGAATATTTTTTTATTGAACTGCTTAGAGAACTAGAAATAAATTTATAAGAATAATAAATATGTAAGTTGTTAGTAGTTGAGCTAAAAATGGAAATAAAAATCACTTCCAATGAAGTTGTTATGTTCTTTGCATACCCATTGTACTTTAGAATGAATATTTCATGAACACTATTAACTGATGTTAGTACAGATATTTTGAATGACATTACATTCCAGAACTGTATTGTAATTAAGCTGTGTTTAAGATTTCTCTCAAATGATTTCAACTATTACCTGGATTTAAGTATTATGTAGTGATGGAAACTACAAAGAAATAATATTAGTGTCGGCTTCAGCCTTGTCCTTCACCACTTGAATTTTGTCTTGTTGGGATTTACTCAGGAGGGATGTGTTCCTTGTGGGGGTGCATCTCCTCTTTTCATCATTAAGGGAACATCATCAAGCCCTGTTTCTGAGTGAAGCAGTCTTTGGGGGTCTTCCCGAGTCTTTGGAGTCTGGGGTTAATGTGGCGAGATTGCATTCTTCTTTGTCCTCCCTGCTTCTTGTTTGTCTCGCCCTACTGATTCTGTTCAGTCTTTGCCTGTTCAAGTGCCCTGTGCTCCTTCTTTTTAGCCCTCTCCTCTTCCCTACTCCCGACATTCCCTTCCTTATGCCCATTCCTCTCTGCCTCACTGTTATTGGTAATGGGATATCTTTCCACGAGTAGGTGGGGCCCAGGTTACAACCCTTTTCTGCTATCTGGAAACTCATCTCAGTGGATCCATAGGTGTTACAGGTTCTGTCAGAGGGTCTATGTATTCAGTTCCAGTCCCCTCCTCCCCTCTTCCGTTTCCCAGTTTCTCTTCCTCCTCCTTGGGATCGTGTCTTGTCCAGTCATCTGGTGGAGTCAGTTCTTGATCTTCTTCACAAGGGGGCTTTAGAACGTGTGTTGCCTGTTCATTCGGGTTTTTACTCCCATTTGTTTGTTATCCCCAAAAAAGACAGGAGATTGGAGACCTATTATCGATGTATCCCAGTTGATTGCCTTTCTGGACACATCTCAATTCTTCAGTGGGTTTTTTCCACAAATCTTTGGATGACCAAATTCGACATGACAGATGCTTACTTTCATGTCCCTATTGCCCAGGAGTCACGGCATTATCTTCAGATCATCCATGGGAAGGATGTGTTCCAGTTCCATGCACTACCATTTGGTCTTGCCTCAGCTCCTTATCTGTTCTTTTGGGTTGTCCATGCTTTTGCACATTATCTTCATTTGTTGGGTATTTGGACTCATCATTACATGGATGACTGGCTCCTGCACACCTCTTCCTGAGCCCAATCTGCCACTCACATCTGCTTCCTTTTTCGGGAGTCTGCTTGAGTGGGATTTCTCATCAAGGTGTCTCACTCCCACTCAATACCTCATTTATTTGGGGGTCCTTTTTAATTTCCATCTTGGTCAGGTTTAGCCTTCTCCACTTTGGTTTCTGGATATGGAATGAACAGTCACTCGGGCTCTGTCTTCACCTTCTCTTCCTGCTCAAGAGGTTATCTCTCTTTTGCAGATGTGGGCCTCCCTGGGAGCTCTCATTCCCTTGGGTCGAGCACACATGTGTTCCCTTCAGTGGACACTTCTCGACCAGTGGAACTTCTCCCACAATCCTCTGGATCATCCTATTACCCTTCCCCCAGGGATCAAAGCCAACTTTATTTGGTGGCTCTTATCGTGGTGGGGTTTCCTCTTCCTCCACCTAATACCAACTCACATTTTTTCACAGATGCTTCTTTGGTTGGTTGGGGACTTCCATCAACTCTCGGAAGATTTTGGGTCAGTGGTCCATCTAGACATTCTACTTACCATATCAACCACTTGGAGCTGTTGGCGGTTTGTCGGGCTCTCACTCATTTCCTCCCACTTTTAAAAGAGTGGGTGTTTATGGTTCATTCCAATAATTCAACTGTTGTCAGTTATATCTCCGAACAAGGGGGTACCAAGTCCAGGAACCTGTTTTTTCACACTTGACCTCTTATACTGGGTCACAGGTACAACATCACACTCTTGCCGTGTCATGTTCTTGGTGTTATGAATCTGGTTGCAGACCATCTATCCCACCCCAACCAAGTTCTTCCTGTGGAGTGATCCCTTCATCCAGCGGTTTTCAGTGTGTGTGTTCTCACCTGGGTATGCCTCATATCAATGTGTTTGCAACCCATTGTAATGTCAAACTTCCTTCCTTTTGGCCTCTTGTCCTGTACTTCTCAGCTCTGGGGTAGATGTGTTCAGTCAGAATTGGAGGGGGCCTTCATGTCTATGCTTACCCTCTGATCAGACTCCTCTTCAGGGTTCTTTCTCTCATACAGAACACTCCATACCATGTATTACTAATTGCTCCTCCGTATTGACCTGCTCAGTTGTGGTTTTCTCTACTCTGGTCTTTATTGGAAAAGCAACCCCTTCCTTTACCTCCATTGACCATGTTTCATCCAGATGTCACCAAACACTGTCTTCACTCGTGGCTTTTGTCTGGTCCATTGCCTCCTCTCAGGGACTCACTACCCATGTAGCTTCTTTGCTTATCCAATCCCTACACCCTTGTTCATTATCCATGTATCGTTGGTCTACCTTTTTCCAGTGGTCTATTCACCAGGGATTCTGTCCTTCAGTTTCTCACATGTCCAGGTTCTTTACCTGGTTATTTGATCAAGGTTTGTCTGTGTTCATTGTTTCTAGTTATCATGCTGCTCTGTCATACACTTTTTGCTTCTCCAATTTTCATAGATCCTTCTCCTCTAGGGTCTTTTTCCTGTTACCTTTACTGGCTGGATTCAGCAACTCACCTGTCTAGACTTGTCAATGGAAGGTTGTCAACTGTTTAATACGCCATGTTACACGTCTTTAACTGCTCGGATCCACTGTCCTTTGGAGGAGATTGTACAAGCGGGAATGTGGACAACTCCTAATATGTTAATTACACATTATTTGCACAATATCACTGTATTCTCCTTGGTCTGGTATCTTCTTCTGCCTGTGGCGATTCTTCACACATCTGTTTTCCTTTAACTGGAGTAAGTTGACATTTTGGTTTTGCTTATGCATTTTGTTTTACCATTTCAGAAACCATTTCCTTTGCATTTCTGGATCCCACCTGAATTGTTTTATACTACCACTTACTCTACTTCTTTCTAACATTCACTGTGGTGATGGGTGTTTCTGTAAGACCACCAGATACTTTTCTGGTGGTGTATCTATATCTATATATATCTCCTGAGGACCATCACTCATGGACTTCCTGAGTAAAGCAGATAGGGATTTTTGCCCATCCTTACTGACCCATCATTTTTACAATCCAGGTCTCTCTGCTCTTCAAAATAGGTGGGTCTTTCCTCTGGACCCCAATGCACCTCCCCCTCTCTTTCTTCTGGTGCAGCAGGGGGTCCTTGCCACTTCTAGTTCCTAGTCACTGGAGTGGTGGACTGTGGAGGTTTCCTCATGAGTGGGTTTTGTACAATAACACAATCTCATAGCCATATGTACTCACATGATGAGAAGAGGGCTGTCATTGTTATCCTGCCTATTATACACACATCATGACACTGTGTCTATTATGCAAAGCGCTTCTACTAGATGTTTTCTACCCAGATGGACTGCACTTGACATAATCCAATGTATACCAAGGGTCTTCCCCACAATGTTTTTGCCTGGGTGGATCTCACTTGGCTATCTTGTTCTCAATCCAAGACACTTCCCCTGGATGCTTTCGCCTGGGCAGGCCAAACTATGCCTATTCATATACAGTCCTCTAGTCCTAGTCACATATTATCTTCATTTCTACCCAACTGTAGTGCTATACCCCACAGTTGTGTCTCATATCTTAATATTGGCATGCCTGTTTTGGTTAATGGTGGTCACTCTCTGCTTGATTATTTGTTTTTGCACCTTCACTGGTCCCTCCACCTTTCCAATGTGGGATTCTAGCTATGGGGGAGCTGAGGTAGTACCGTTTCGGAAGTTAACATTTTCTAACACTGAAAGTGTATTTCTGATAGGTACTTATCTCTTCTCACCCACTTCCCACCCTTCATCGCCACTAAGTTGCTGGTGTATTTGGGTTCATATATGCCAATTCTCGTAAGTGAGGATTGTGCTGCAATGATAGAGGGAGCTACCTGCACTAGTATTGAGAGCACAATAGGATTGGCAGTGGGCAGAAACATGATCAGCACTTGTTGCTGCAGTGATGCAAAAAATATAGGGGTATAAATGATTGGTGTGTCATTCATAAGATTTACCAATACCTAGAGGGCAAATGAAGGTTGAGATATCTATGGGTACTTACACCTTTTGGAAATACATTTTCAGTGTTAGAAAATGTTAACATATGCAATTTTTCAGATATCCAGAGTGTCCCAAAGTCAAAGACTGGCAAATAACCAAAACCCAAATTTCTCATCATTTGATAGAGCAAAACAGTCATCATGATCTTTGACTACCTATTTTATTATTACTCTAAGCAAAATTAATAAAGCCCTAGAATACTCTATAGCCTAGTATCCCACATATACCATCTTATAACAAAAGTAAACAAACAAGTATTAGGAAAAAAATGTAATGCTGAATAAAAGAGCTATGTTGTGCTGGCTACTGAACTTTAAAAAAGGAACCAAACAAGATAAGGATAGAAGTGGACATATCACTTGGTCCAGATTGTGATCATAGAGCAGATTAAGCTATCTCCACTTTACATGGAGAATAAAATCCTTACATTACTGGCTTTCTCACTAGCAAA